AAAAGCCTCGAATTTATCTTTTTTATTGCTGAGTAATACTCCATTGTGTAAAATGCCATATCTTTTTTTATTCATTCCAAAGTGTACAAACCCCAAGCCTGCCGAGGTAACCTTTTCATATACCTCCACACATTGGTGCATGTATTATATTCTTACATGTACTGCTATATGTATACACAAATGTATTACATGACAATCACTTTCTTTTTTGGGGGGGTTTTGTTTTTTTGTTTTTTGGGGTTTTTTGCAAACCTGGGAATTGAACTCAGGCCCTTGCACTTGCCAGGCAAGTGCTTGTTCTACTGAGCCATCTCCCCAGCCCCGACAATCCCTTTCTATGCTTATCACAATTATTTTAGATTTACCTTGGAATTTTTAATTTTTAGTTTTAATTGACATATAATTGTACGTATGTATAGGATACTGTGTACTAAGTGGATACATATATACAGAGCATAATGATCAAATTAGGATAATTAATATTTCATTCTTCTTAAATTGTTGTTTGGAAGACTTTGAATACCTCTTGTCTAACTCTCCATAAAATATGTAATAAGTTGTTGTCAACTGTAATTGCCCTAATATGTTGTGGAACACTTAAAATTTATCTGTCCTAATTATATTTTAGTACATGTGGTCCAAACTTTAGCCTCCATCTACCCTTTGTAGCTTATAGTCTCCACTGTTCTACTCTGTAATTTTACAGATCAACCTTTTTAGCTTTTACATATGAGGGACAAGATGCAGTGTTGTCTTTCTGTACTTGACATTTCCCTTAATGGGATGTCTTCCAGTTCCAGCCATGGAACTGCAGGGTATGACCCATAGCTGCAGGGTATTATGCTTAGCACTAGTGGAATCAATGCCAGTTCTCCATGCAATTTTGTGAGGCCATTCTTCTAGGAATTGTTACACTTCTGTATATTTTAAAGAAATGGGCAGTTCTGTATCCCTGCACTTCATCAGTGGCTTTTTCATTATTGTCTCACTAATTCTCCAGAGTTGTTAGAGGTGTTACTCTGTGTACCCACTCTGTCGGTTTGTCCATTATTTGTTTGTCCATGTACTCTTAATAGGTGAAGTTGCTATTGACTTGTCATCCAGTTTGCTAATTATTTTTTCTGTGTTCAATCTGAAGTAAATCCACCCACTCAGGTCTTAAACTTTTTCATTATCAATGCTTTTTGCTTTCTGATTTTTATTTTTGCATGGGGGAAACTGAGGGCTGTGTGGATGGTACAAACTCATTCTGCCAACTGGAGAAGGATACCAATGTTATATCTTTAAATTCTAAACTGTCTTTTTGTCTCTTCTTTTAACAGATTTTAGTTCTGCTAAAATTTTCCATCCTTTCCATCTATTTGTGATCTTTTTTAAAACATACCTGATCATTTTAGTCAAATCAGATTTGGTGGTACACGTCTGTAGTCCCAGCTATGTGGTATATAGAAGCATAGACCCATTTGAGCCTAGGAGTTTGAGACAATCCTGGGAAACCCATAGAGACCTTACCTCAAAAAAAAGTGTACAGAGAAACAGTTATATATCTGGTGTGTATATGATATAATAATATATGTATTACTAATATCCTAATGTCTTTGCCTAAGTATCTTTGAGATGTCTCTCATCTTTGAGAGTCTGTCTCCCCAACTGTCTCCATCTGTCTCTATCTCTCCTTTTTTCTTTTTTCCTGGATTTTAGTATTGGTCCTTTTCTTTCTTGCATGCCAGCTTTTTTGTCAGTCAAAATTAAAAAAAGCTATAGAAGAGTGCTAAGAGTTGTTCTAGCATCCTGAATACCAAGTGCTGTCTTGTTTCTGTTGAAGCTGGTTATGATACTCTGTGCACGAACTTGTGTTTGTATCATTCTCCTAAGATGTTGCCCCGGCTGAGTCACAAATGAAAATCTATGCTGTTTAGCACTTGGCCCCCATTTTGAACTCTGCTGCTATATTCTCAGTACCACATTATGGCTGCTGCCTCAACATTTCATTTTCTCTTTTTTCCTGGATTTTTGACCATTTATTATGTCTAAGGTCAGCAAACAACCTTAGAGGAATTTGTATGGAATTGTTTCTAGTACTTTTCATATACTTTACTCCTTTTCTGATCCTGCCTTCCCTATTTCCCACCATTTTGAAGGCCTTAAGCTTGACTTCTATTTTCCAGTCTAATATGGGTATAGTTTTCTGTGAAAATTCTATTTCTTCAGGTTATAATTCTCAAAGTACCCCCAAGAAAAAATGAAGCATGGAACTTGCCTCTTAACGCATCCCACTTTCAAGAATTACTGCTCAATTCTGTGTTGTTAGTTGCCCCCATTTTATGCCTCTAAACAATGGTTTATATATTTTCTTCAGCGTATATAGTTTTTTTAGGCAGGAAAATTAGGTTAAGTAAACTACTCTGTCTTGATTTAAAAGTTTATGGTGTTGATTTTACAATTTAATTTTTGTAAGCCATATTACTTTATGTCTAATCCTTTAAAAAGGGATGTGGAGGCTCTTGTTTACTACTGAAATTAAGAAATATTCCAACTCCTTGGGAGGCTAAGGCAGGACGACTGCAACTTCTAGGTCAGCCTGTGCAATTTGGAAATATTCTGCATCAAAATAGAAAAAAAAAAATTAAGGCCAGGGATGTAGTCAGTGGTAAAGCACTGGCTCACCATGTATATATGATGGCCTGGCTTCAATTCTCAGTAGTGGAAAAAAAAGATTAAAAGTGACTCACTTAAGTACTTTATGGAGAATAACTTGTATAATTTTATTTTTGTGAGACAGAAAAAACTAATGAAAGGCATTAATTGTTTTCAAGAAATGTTTTAATGTACAACGCTTTATTATGACCTTTACATGTGTTCTTTAGAGAATATTTAACTCTATATTTAATCAGAAATATTTTTAAAACCTGTGTTTTTACTTATTATTTGATGTAGTACACATCTGGCTTTGAAAATTAGTTATCATTTTAGTATAACTTTCATAAATTTCTGGATTTTTTTTCCAGTGGATTAATGACCTAGAAAATGACCAGTTGTATGCTGCATGGCCTGCAAGTTGCCAGGAGCTTCTGACAGCAGTATTCCCTAGGACTATATCTGTGATAAAACGCAATTTTCATAATTTGGTGAGTGTTACATTTTGAGCATTATTCATCTTTTGTAAGGAAAGCCTTATTTTTGGATTATTTTTCTTCTGGTACATAGCCATCTGACTTGTAAAGAGGTACTTGTTGCAGCAGCTAGTACTGGCTGTGAATTTAGGTCAAGGCAAACCTAGACTATATTGTGAAACCCTATCTGAAAGAAACTATGTGCATATTTGTTAAAATAAAAGTGATAAAATTTAGCTTTATATTATAAAGAAATAATGACAAGTTTAGTTTATCCCATATAAAAATTCTGCTTTTATCCCAGATAAAAATTCTACTTTTTTATCTAGACATAAATGTTTATTGCTGCAATATTAAATATTCACACAACTTACTTGGAAATTTGAAATGTAGAGAAAGCACTTCAGACTTTATTTTTGGTTTTTATATCAGGAATGAGTGTCTTATTTCCTCCAAAAATGATCAGACAGTATGTCAAAACGTTGGTTTTGGTAAATATTTAATTTTAAGGCATTAGTCCTGCCATACACAATTTGTATTTCTATCATTTCAGTTATTTGTGAACCATGGCCCAGAAGTATTAAATGGAAAATTCCATAAATTAAAAAATATAATTTTGGGGCTGGTGAGATAGCTCAGCGGACTAAGCACCTGCTTAGGCAAGCTCAGGGACCAGGGTTCAATTTGCGGCACCACTTGCTGTGTCAGCCCAACCCTGAGCATACTGAGCCAGCCACCAAGCCTGGGCATGGTGGTGCATGCCTGTAATCTCAGTGCTTGAGAGGCTGAAAACAGGAGGATCACTATGAGTCTGAGTATTATATATATACATATTT